GATGGGACTCAATCCAAAAAATACTAGAATCTGTACTTTACTAAGAAAGTGTAATCCCAAATATAACATATGTTACTGTATATCTTATAAGTATATATTTTGTGACAATTTTTCTGGAACTAAATACTGGTCTATCAAAGAGTATCTAACTGATGTTATTTATTCTAACCGATTCTATTCTCGCATCTTTCAGCCATTGCTATTGCCGTATAACGAACTAAACAAACACAAGGCTATATAAATCTGGCTTTCCGTCTGAAGATAATAAATAATCCACTGACATACATTTAGATAAGACATTCAACACGTGAAGAGTATATTTACAGCGTGTTGCCTCCCACTTCTCTCATCCTGAGTTTACACCACGTGTTTACACCATGTGCTTACACTTCCAGCTCTCACAATCCCGTCTCCTATCTCGGCCAGTAACGTCTTATACAGACCTGGCCTAAACAAAATATACCGGAAACAATGCGATGGCATCATCGCCGCTCCTTCCTGTTCCACTGTCTATGATTCTGCTATGGGCGTGGCGCTATTTACGGACACCCGCCACACGTGGTTTTCATGCTGGCCATATTACCTTATAGCTCTGACATTCTGCTCCGATAACAGGTAGTCTACATTCCTATACACTTCAAAGGCTATGGGCAATCTGTTGTCAGAGTTGCAACCTCGAATATCGCCTTCCGAATAATTCCGGCATACAGTTGCGCGGTGGCTGCAGGAGAGTAGGAAGTTGGTATCAGGTAATCAGTATTTCTGTGGTGAGGAGGCTGGGATGAGGATGTTGTGGGTATGGATGGAGTTTCCCTGTTTGGAGAAGGTATTGGGGACACGTGAATGGCCAGGGGCGTGACTGACAGTAGCCGGGCGAGCCGTCAGACACGTGTGAATATATAGGCCCTGACTGGCATGAATGTCGGTGAAGGTAGAACGGTGTAGGCGTGAAGTAGCAGAAATATCTGACGGTGCCCGGAAGCTGGACATATCACTCTCATCATCTAAAATAACACTTTCCATATTTATAAGGAATCTCTGCTAAAACATGAGCATGAATCACCACCAACTAGTCATCATACCATGGTAGGGCTATCTGAGTATCTTCTGACTAGTTACCAACATATGTGTATTTTGTGAATATATGTGATGAACCTCGTGACTATTACCCGTCAGAAAGGCCCTCACTACATGGCGTAAGAGCCGTAATACTTGATGATAATGTCGCCCTTCTTATTGTGTCACGGAATGATAGAATATTCTTTTCCATACTCTCAAACTATACCACTCAAAAGAAGTTAAGGATCATCCGATTCTTTTCATATCACTATAGTTAATCTGTCATGGCATGGCTGATGAATATATGCAAGAATAGGGTAGTCCTTAACTTTATTTGAGCTGTATATTTTGAACTAAAATATGTGATAGTCTAGCTACTGTACTGTCCTTCGCTGGCAGGATGGTATACAGTGTAAATATTTTGGTTGTCAAGGTTTAACTTTAGCTCATCATTATATGGCTGAAATATTGCCCGTATGGCGTGCAACTCACTCACTCACCCCTTGATCTGGCAGATGTCACCGTGCCCTGGCATGCTTATGCCTTCAGTTATCACTGGTGTGCCAAGAACAGGTCGTTAGAGCGGGGCCATTGCTCACCTCAGCGTCCCCCTATGCAAGTAGTTTCATACAAAAGGACAACATTAGCTTTAGGTTTCCATAGTTAACGTTCTGGGCATCAAGTGGTCATTAACATGCAATGCAGTGACGTCATTAAACAACGAGTGTTGCCAAGTGACCCCGCATTACATCCCCACTGTCAAGTAGTAGAACGCGGCGAAAAGTCCCCCTCAATATGTAATAAACTTTGATAGGTTTTAAACCTTGAATGATTTGACGTTCAGACATTTTCTACATAATCCCCTTCCACGTTGATACACTTTCACCAACGAGTTTTTTACTCCATCCAAGTCCTTGACTTGGAGGTCCAAAATGTTCTTCACAACTGCTATGACGTCAACGTTCGAGCCGAAATGGTTATCGTTTTCTTCATGTTTAGAAACGCGGAACAAGGGTGCCGTTGTACAAAGCGATCTTGGTGGCCGTAACTCCCATGTCCCATGAGTCTTAGCGATAAGGTTGTTTAGTACAAAAGAGCACCGTGGTCATGAGAACTAAACGAGGGGTGCTGAAGATGTTCAAAGCCACATTCATGGATTACAGTCATGACAGTGACTGGCGCATTGTTCTCATGAAAAATCACACATTGTCTCAGTTTCCGAAGTCTCTTTTGCTTAAATTAACCCCGTAAATTACAAAAAGTGTCCATAATATCCTCCGGTTATAGTCTAGTAATTTGGAAGACAGTACAGCACTGTGACTCCTTCGACATCCTTGGGCTTTTCCACCTGAATAGACAGTGTCTGCCTTCGTTGATGGTAGAGATGTGATATGGTTCCACTCTCAAGTGAACCCATTTTTCCTCCATGCACAAATCGTTGCAAGAACCTTTCTGGGTAAGGTTCAAACAGAGCAAGATTATCATGAGACAAGTCGTGCCTATGCGTTTTGATAAGAGATTTTCACCGTTGCCAAAGTTTCTGTGATAAAGGAAAAAGCCATATGAACTCGCAGAATGATATTCAGTCATTCGCTGGTAGAGTATCGCCATATCCTAGATTTTCAGGGTCATTTCTGGTGTCACAGGCCTTCCACAAAAGGTTCTCGCTGGCACGCTTAAACGCTGCTGCCCACCTCTTTGTGTAGATGCAGTGACAATTTGTGTCAGCAGAAACATGTTTCAGACTGAAACGCATTGAACATATTTTGCTATTCTCACTGAGTTCTATCAAGTTGAAACACACCAGAAGGAGTTCATCACATCAAAGACGACCCATGCATGCCCAATGTGAGCTTGCTTGGGTAATGCTTGTGGAACCGTTCAATCCCTGACATTCATTTTTCAAAGCCTTTCCTCTAACAACCATCAAAACGTTTATTTTCTTGATCCTATATATTTTTGGAGAGTGTATATTTCTTTAGCACATCGAAAAGTGTATACACTTTTTGGCTATGAAAAAGAACAAATGTAGGCATTCAGGGAACACAAACACAAAAAATACTTTTTAAATGTTGCTAACAAGCAAATATATTCTTGAATTACGACGCTTGGATTGCATTTCCGAAAATGGTCATTATCGGAATGTGTTTCTACCAGGTCCTGCGATTAACGTGCATGCTTTACTGTCTAGTGGCCCTAGGCTACAGTTACGTCCCTTAGTCGTGGTTTTCGAATAACCGATTAGCACCCAATATAACCATTTCACTAAACATCGCTATAGAATAGTCATGATACTAGGTGTTCGGGAAAGGTGAGCGTATCCTGCCCCACCTATGTCACCCGTCATGCAAAGGCTAGTAAACTGTTCACCTAAAAAAACACGGGAACGTACGGTCAAAATAGGGATTTGCACATTTTTGTCACTAATTTGTAAATGTGGACATGTCCTCTACACGTCCACCATAAAACTGATAAAACTTTTAAAAAGGTTTTCTGAGACCTTGAATTTCGTAACTTCGATCAAACAATTTCTGAGCAAGATTCGTTTTGAAATCTTGATAAAACTCATGCTCGATTGTACCTCAATAGTTGTGAAATGTAAACAGAAAAGACTGGAGCTGTTGGAATATTGCTTGACACTAGAGGAAAGCTGGCCACTGGTAAGTTGACGTCATCCATTATGTGTAGAGTTGTGTGCCCCCTCGGACTCTTTATGCATTGATCTAAAATGAAACAAACACCAAGAGCGCAGCTATTCCCGAGTACCTGATATATATTGTTACATGCATGCTGTGTTGTTTTGTTTAACGCCGGACTCAGCAGTGTTCCTGCTGTACGACAGCGGTACGGATCACACATACCGGTGATTGATATTACCGTCGTTGGGGATGTTGACGCGTCATCACATAGCCTGACAACTCCATCCGCCGAGCCGCCTAGAACAAGAAGCACAGGCTGCTGAGGAACCATTCTAGCCTGGGATGCCCTCGAGAGAGAGACTAATTCGTATAATAATTTCAACAGACCAAGTCTGGAGTCCATTTAACATTTATCATCATAACTAACTTTCATCTTTTCCTTACAAATCTCCAGATGACGTTTTGGCATTAATATCATCTAAATCTTCATTGTATGAAAGTTGAACACGCAAGGAGGTGTGCTATTTGTGGGCATCAAGTTATGGATCTGGGAATTCTGATTCAGATATAGATATCACACAGCTCCACGTCGTGTAGCAGCCATATGTTGTACGCAAGAAAACTCAAACATATTTACGTGTAGAATAACATAGTATCTATATCTAGAATATACACATCACATAGGGGGACACGTGCGTTGTTTACACAGATCAGACTTTCGGGGCCGACTAATTATAGGGATGTAGGACATGGAGAGTTCTTCCTGAACTTACATTACTGAGTCGCACCGTCGTTCTGTTGCCATCCTTTCAGGAGGAAAACTCGCCCAGAAAAGTTAGGTGAGCGAACAGTTACTCGCGCTATTTACCCGGATTTTCGATTGATAACATAACAAGGATCTTATGACCTGTTTTACGTAGGTATGTGATTGATGTTCCGGGAATAAAGAAAACTGACACAATTAAAACAAAACAAGTTCATTTTATCATCTGTATCTGTCCGCTGTAACATGACAGTTATATTTCTTTTAGGCGCCGGTATCTGATAAGCGCCGTGGAGGTCCTGTACGCCAGACCTTTCATATTTTCGCAAATGTATTCTCCTCTTAGAGGTCCTGTATCCCATGCTTCTCTGTGGAGGTCCCCATCCCCCATGCTTTTTCTCAACTGGAGGTCCCCTGTATCCGAATAAGCTTCGGGCCTCTAACAAACGCCGTGGAGGTCCCCTGTATCCGATCCTCTTTAAAGTGGAGGCGCCGTGGGCGCTTATCCCATGCTTCTCTCGGTATATATCTTTTAGGCCCTATCCCCATGATTGTCTCTCTGTGGAGGTCCCCTGTATCCCATGCTTCTCTCTGTGGAGGTCCCCTGTATCCCATGCTTCTCTCTCTGTGGAGGTCCCTGTACTGTACCCCATGCTTCTCTCTCTCTGTGTGAGGTCCCCTGTACCCCATGCTTCTCTCTCGGTGGAGGTCCCTCTGTATCCCATGCTTCTCTCTCTGTGGAGGTCCCCTGTATCCCATGCTTCTCTCTCTCTGTGTGGGAGGTCCCCTGTATCCCATGCTTCTCTCTCTGTGGAGGTCCCCTGTATCCCATGCTTCTCTCTCTGTGGAGGTCCCCTGTAGGTCCCCTGTATCCCATGCTTCTCTCTCTGTGGAGGTCCCCTGTATCCATGCTTCTCTCTCTGTGGAGGTCCCTGTATCCCATGCTTCTCTCTGTGGAGGTCCCCTGTATCCCATGCTCTCTCTGTGGAGGTCCCCTGTATCCCATGCTTCTCTCTCTGTGGAGGTCCCCTGTATCCCATGCTTCTCTCTCGGTGGAGGTCCCCTGTATCCCATGCTTCTCTCTCTCGGTGGAGGTCCCCTGTATCCCATGCTTCTCTCTGTGGGAGGTCCCCAGTATCCCATGCTTCTCTCTCGGTGGGAGGTCCCCTGTACCCCTTCTCTCTGATGCTTCTCTCTCTCTCTGGGAGGTCCCCAGTACCCCATGCTTCTCTCTCTGTGGAGGTCCCCTGTACCCCATGCTTCTCTCTCTGTGTGGAGGTCCCCTGTACCCCATGCTTCTCTCTGTGTGGAGGTCCCCTGTACCCCATGCTTGTCTCTCTCTGTGGAGGTCCCCTGTACCCCATGCTTCTCTCTCTGTGGAGGTCCCCTGTATCCCATGCTTCTCTCTGTGTGGAGGTCCCCTGTACCCCATGCTTCTCTCTCTGTGGAGGTCCCCTGTACCCCATGCTTCTCTCTCTGTGGAGGTCCCCTGTATCCCATGCTTCTCTCTGTGTGGAGGTCCCCTGTACCCCATGCTTCTCTCTCGGTGGAGGTCCCCTGTACCCCATGCTTCTCTCTCTCGGTGGAGGTCCCCTGTATCCCATGCTTCTCTCTGTGGAGGTCCCAGTTCCCATGCTTCTCTCTGTGTACCCCATGCTTCTCTCTCTGGGAGGTCCCCTGTACCCATGCTTCTCTCTCTGTGGAGGTCCCCTGTATCCCATGCTTCTCTCTCTCGTGGAGGTCCCCTGTACCCCATGCTTCTCTCTCGGTGGAGGTCCCTGTGGAGTATCCCATGCTTCTCTCTCTGGAGGTCCACAGTGGAGGTCCCCAGTACCCCATGCTTCTCTCTCGATGGAGGTCCCCAGTATCCCATGCTTCTCTCTCGGTGGAGGTCCCCTGTATCCCATGCTTCTCTCTCGATGGAGGTCCCCTGTATCCATGCTTCTCTCTGTGGAGGTCCCCAGTATCCCATGCTTCTCTCTCTCTGTGGAGGTCCCCAGTACCCCATGCTTCTCTCGAGTGGAGGTCCCCTGTATCCATGCTTTCTCTCTCGGTGGAGGTCCCCAGTACCCCATGCTTCTCTCTCGGTGGAGGTCCCCTGTATCCTGTATGTATCCCCCATGCTTCTCTCTCTGTGGAGGTCCCCAGTATCCTCTCTGTGGATGTACTTGCTTCTCTCTGTGGAGGTCCCCTGTATCCCATGCTTCTCTCTCTGTGGAGGTCCCAGTACCCCATGCTTGTCTCTCGGTGGAGGTCCCCTGTACCCCATGCTTCTCTCTCTGTGGAGGTCCCCTGTATCCCATGCTTCTCTCTCTCGTGGAGGTCCCCTGTACCCCATGCTTCTCTCTCGGTGGAGGTCCCCTGTACCCCATGCTTCTCTCTGGAGGTCTGTATGGAGGTCCCCTGTACCCCATGATTCTCTCTCTGGGGAGGTCCCCTGTATCCCATGCTTCTCTCTCGGTGGAGGTCCCCCTGTACCCCATGCTTCTCTCTCTCTGGAGGTCCCCAGTATCCCATGCTTCTCTCTCGGTGGAGGTCCCCTGTACCCCATGCTTGTCTCTCTCGAGTGGAGGTCCCCTGTGTACCCCATGCTTCTCTCTCGGTGGAGGTCCCCTGTACCCCATGCTTCTCTCTCGGTGGAGGTCCCCTGTACCCCATGCTTCTCTCGATGGAGGTCCCCTGTACCCCATGCTTCCCCTGTCTCTCGGTGGAGGTCCCCAGTACCCCATGATTGTCTCTCGGTGGAGGTCCCCAGTACCCCATGATTGTCTCTCTGTGGAGGTCCCCAGTACCCCATGATTGTCTCTCGGTGGAGGTCCCCAGTACCCCATGATTGTCTCTCTGTGGAGGTCCCCAGTACCCCATGATTGTCTCTCGGTGGAGGTCCCCAGTACCCCATGATTGTCTCTCTCGGTGGAGGTCCCCTGTACCCCATGATTGTCTCTCGGTGGAGGTCCCCTGTACCCCATGATTGTCTCTCGGTGGAGGTCCCCAGTACCCCATGAATGTCTCTCGGTGGAGGTCCCCAGTACCCCATGCTTCTCTCTCTGTGGAGGTCCCCAGTACCCCATGATTGTTTCTCTATGGAGGTCCCACGTGACACTCAAACAGTTTCCAATTCTGTGATAGGTCAGTCACCAGTATGGTTGTGTAAACATTTAGGAGGCTTGTATTCACCCCGTGTCCCCCCACCCCGAGCCTACACTGCTCTTCCCCCTACCTCGTCTCTGACAGTACCATAGCTGGTAATTTGTTGCAGATGCCCCGGCAGTAAGTCGCACCATCACTTTTAATATCTACATTTCATTAAAATTACGCCAATCTAGATAAATGTATATCAAAGTCAGTTCAGATTTTGACCTCCACCGAAAGAGAAGTATGGAGTACAGGGCGGTCGGGTAGCCTAGTGGTTAAGGCGTTCGCTCGTCAAGCTGACGTGCGGGTTCGATTCCCCACATGGGCACAATGTGTGAAGCCCATATCTGGTGTCCCCCGACGTGATATTGCTGGAATATTCCTAAAAGCGGCGTAAAAGCAAACTCACTCACTCCGAAGTTAAAAATAGCATCAAGGGGAGAGGAATGTGTTGTGTCGGAATGATTTCACAGATTATATTTTAGTAAGACCCTGTGGATGAACGAGGGTGCTTGGGAGGTGAAATATAAGTTACACTGCAAAATGCCGAAAGAGTCTTTCTTTTCCCCGTTTATATGTTACTAAGTTAGGGATTACTTTGTTAGGGTAACACTGAAATGTTATAAATTGAACATAAACAACAGCCATTATACGCCTGGCTCTCAAGGTGAAATCTTGGAAAAGGTATACCTCCCAAAACAAAAGAAAAATCCAATCACACCACCCCCACACACACACACACACACACACACACAAACAAACAACACATAAGGAACTAGTAACAGTAACCCAAACAAAATAAAACAATAAAAATAAGACAGCACACTCGAAGGGCTAAAATGAATAGTATAAGGGGGGTATTCTAGGGCTAATAACATTATATCTGAAGGGGATCCAAGGGCTGAAATAGACAGTATAATGATAATGATTCGGAATATGTATGGGCTGAGAAATTAATTAAGAATCCAAAGCTAAATATAACTCAGAAACGGAAACAAAAATGAAAAAGACGATTTAATCCATGCAGTCATATAATGAGTCAAGTCGGTATTATGAATTTCTTAATTCCTGTAATGTAAACAATACAAGATCATAACAATGTCAGGACTGGGGCCTGGGAGGCCAGACAGGCCATGTCGCCATGGGAACACAGCCGAGGGAGTCGGTGTCATACATTTGAACAACAATTATTGCAACGTCATATAGTTATTAGGGACGGGTCGTGAAGTCAAGAAATTGCAACAATGTTCTGAAACAAAAAGATACAAATAAGTTTGATTTCACGTGCGCTTATTTGGTGGCATGGGGTATTCTAAAGGTATGCCCAAGAAATATATGTTTACTCTTGGATGAAGAGATTCCGAAGAATAGACCAGCAACGTGTAATGGCCCCACGTGGTTCGAAGAGAATGGGGTTAAGAGTAACAAAGATGTTGATTGCATTCTACCTGTGTGCCAAAAATAGCGAAATGGGTTTCGAAATACGTACTGACGCAATCGCTAAACTCTATTCAATGCCAACGTTTAGCGTTAACGGGTAGTGACCATCGTTAGGGACCGTTCATAATTCATGGCTTGGGTAGGGTGATGATGATGTTTTATGGAGACGCATGTACAATGGATATGACACCACCCCCCACCACCCCAAAAATACAATAAAATATGTGCAAAACAAGTGACCCCATGCCTGTCATTTACAAACCCCCCCCCCGCCCCCCATAATTATTATTATGTAAGCGTAATTTTTGATATCTTTATATACAAAACTGATGACCCTCTAGTCCATGTGTTCAAAATTGATGCCCCCCGCCCTCCACCACACACACTTAAATTCATCATCATATCACACACACACACAACACACACATAGCCATAACGTTAACGGGTTGTGTCTACTTGTGACCATCCTTATGAATTAACTCTTCCTAAAAGATATTTCGTAAATTTTCAAAACAGCCATATGTAAACATCTACACCCGTTCAAGAAATGTCACGCATAGTAATAACTTCTCTCCTGTGGATATGATACGTTGACACATATGTTTGTGTTCGAAATAGTATTTATTGTACAATATGCGATATCAATGAATCATTTGTGTAAAATCCTCTTGAACCGACAAACACAGCGCCAAAGAAAGACATTATACGAGCGCCTCCCATAATACCAGTTAGATTGTACACATGTACAGGAAGTAGGTACTAATTACCTCCCTCGGCAAAGCTGTATTCTTACCGGAGGAGAAGAACGGAATAGCCTCAGTGAATGGCGGATACCGCAACGATATGTCTTGAGTGATCGGCTTTACGTTATGAGTGAAAACGAAAATGCTACCTCCACCGCGAAAGGTCAGACTTGTCAATGGAAGCTTTGGTTTCACAATCCTTGACATATCTAGTGAAACTTTCTAAACGGAATTTTAATGCGTTTGCTCTAATTTTATTCCAGGTCAAACCAACCGTTGCCTTGAAACACATTCACTCTGAACAAGTGGCCAAACTCCAAGCTAAGCATCAACAAGAATGTGATCTACTGGAAGATATAAGGTAGGTGATGCTTGTTAGTACATACACTATCTGTGATTGAGATGGCAACTTGTCATACAGTGCGGACGTTATCAACAACGAGGATGGACAGTGGGGCTCATCAAGCCTCACGCCCCCTAACCTGACAGTCGGGATATGAACGAAAGACGGTGTCCTGTATCGGACGGTACTACAAGATGATATCGGATCATGGATAGCTTGTGTGTTTCACCTATTCCAAATAAACCCCACAGTCGTTACTCCAAGGGCAGTTTGCGTCTTAAATACTGTTTGTTTAGGAGGAAGAACAAGCACTTTGATCTTCGCCCGAGTTTGTGAATTAGTAGTGTAAACAGCGCCACGCGACACGTTGTGAAATAAACTGACAGAGTTGTACGACCATGTGATTGTTACCTCGCGGTTGTAGCCGACTTTGTAACCCATTTAAACTACTTGACTTGGTATTACCGTCAAGGGGAATACCTTTGAAATTGGGTCCTTCTTTATTGAAGCGACGCGTGACAGACACGATCGCCATCCTGTGTGATTGAGTTGTCTATAGTCCTTAATTGCATCGTGTTTATTGGAAGTGTGATTTGTCATTTGACAGCTAGCTTGTAACAGGAGGTGACGTATTGCTGTCGTTAGAACAATGCGTACAAGATATATATCATGATTTATTTCTTTAATAAATGAAAAATAATAAATTGAGCAAAACATGTCTAGTAGTCATGTATTCATGTTGTCAAGATTTTCACAGGTTTAAGTGTAAAATGCTATACAAGTGCAAATATTATAACTAGCTCTAATTTCAATTTGTTTTCTCAGAATGAACTTTTATTGTATTTCTAGTGAAATTGAATCCCTCTAGAGTTATCTCTGACAACACTACTTAAAACAAGACAGCAGATGGAATACTGAAGACTATTAAAATCTTTAGCTTTAGCTTCTGTGAACCAGGAGAGGTTGCACCGTATGACAGAGTTGTTATCTGCCTTGGTTGACGACAGCTGCAGGCAGTGCTGCACTTGTTTATGTTTGTGTGGAGGAAAATCATTTTAAATATACATGTATGTAGTTCACAATGATATGAACTATGGATATTGAGGATCTGGCTGTGGATAAACAAACTGCAACTCTAGTTCCTCGGGCGGTGCGTCTAGTTCCTCGGGCGGTGCCTCTAGTTCCTTGTAGCTAACCTCATGTATAATCGATGTATCCAAGGAAGAGATTTGTAACTTATTGATATAGTGTTGGGAAATATTCGAGAACGTAGATTCCCTGCTTGGTTCAGCTCAAGGAGAAATCATTGATTCAGTTATTAGATGAAATGTTTTCCAGTTTGGTAATGAGAGTTTGTGCAATGGGATGTTGTGCTTTTTCCCTACTGAGGCTGTCATAGATACAAGACATTTTGGGCTCTCTATTCATGTTATTGATGTAAATATATGTAAATTTTGTGAAAGTATTTCAGGAAAAGTATTGGTTAAGTGTTGTTCGAGGATAATAACAGAAAGCTGGTGTGTCGTCATTTGAGCCAATTATTGATTATTTCACAAGCTCATGACGCAGCTACTTATTGATAAGGGAGACTATTGATTTGGATGTAGATATATTGGAATGGCAGTATGAACATTCAGGAAAGTTTTCAATGCAGCCTCTAATTGCTTAGAAATGAAATCCTCTTAGGTTAAGCGGTCTATCCATCCACAGCTATTTGCAAACACTCTCGAACTTTGTTTCACTCATTCTTGCTAAACCCAGAAATAGACATAAAGGAAGAGGTAGATTTATGAGTTGAGCCTCACTCCATGATGAAGTGAAGCAGGTGCCCTCTCTGTAACAACTGAGTGTACATGGATATATACACTGCTTGTTGGGGGAGATTGGTATGATATGAGAATATATACACTGCTTGTTGGGGGAGATTGGTATGATATGAGAATATATACACTGCTTGTTGGGGGAGATTGGTATGATATGAGAATATATACACTGCTTGTTGGGGGAGATTGGTATGAGATGAGAATATATACACTGCTTGTTGGGGGAGATTGGTATGATATGAGAATATATACACTACTTGTTGGGGGAGATTGGTATGATATAAGAATATATACACTGCTTGTTAGGGGAGATTGGTATGATATGAGAATATATACACTACTTGTTGGGGGAGATTGGTATGATATGAGAATATATACACTGCTTGTTTGGGGAGATTGGTATGATATGAGAATATATACACTGCTTGTTGGGGGAGATTGGTATGATATGAGAATATATACACTGCTTGTTATGGGAGATTGGTATGATATGAGAATATATACACTGCTTGTTGGGGGAGATTGGTATGATATGAGAATATATACACTGCTTGTTGGGGGAGATTGGTATGATATGAGAATATATACACTGCTTGTTAGGGGAGATTGGTATGATATGAGAATATATACACTGCTTGTTAGGGGAGATTGGTATGATATGAGAATATATACACTGCTTGTTGGGGAGATTGGTATGATATGAGAGTATATACACTGCTTGTTAGGGGAGATTGGTATGATATGAGAATATATACACTGCTTGTTAGGGGAGATTGGTATGATATGAGAATATATACACTGCTTGTTGGGGGAGATTGGTATGATTTGAGAATATATACACTGCTTGTTCGGGGAGATTGGTATGATATGAGAATATATACACTGCTTGTTAGGGGAGATTGGTATGATATGAGAATATATAAGCTGCTTGTTAGGGGATATTGGTATGATATGAGAATATATACACTGCTTGTTGGGGGAGATTGGTATGATATGAGAATATATACACTGCTTGTTGGGGGAGATTGATATGATGTTAGAATATATACACTGCTTGTTGGGGTAGATTGGTATAATATGAGAATATATATACTGCTTGTTGGGGGAGATTGGTATGATATGAGAATATATACACTGCTTGCTGGAGGAGATTGGTATGATATGAGAATATATACACTGCTTATTGGGGAGATTGGTATGATATGAGAATATATACACTGCTTGTTAGGGGAGATTGGTATGATATGAGAATATATACACTGCTTGTTGGGGGAGATTGGTATGATATGAGAATATATACACTGCTTGTTTGGGGAGATTGGAGTGATATATGAATATATACACTACTTGTTGGGGGGAGATTTGATTTATATGATAGTAGATACACTACTTTTAGAGGGACATTGGAGTGATATGTGAATGGATACACTACTTTTAGGGGGAGATTGGTGTGATATGTGAATGGATACACTACTTTTAGCAGGAGATTGGTATGATTTGTGAATGGATACACTACTTTTAGGGGGACATTGGTATGATATGTGAATGGATACACTACTTTTAGGGGGAGATTGGCATGATATGTGAATGGATACACTACTTTTAGGGGGAGATTGGCATGATATGTGAATGGATACACTACTTTTAGGGGGAGATTGGCATGATATTTGAATGGATACACTACTTTTAGGGGGAGATTGGTGTGATATGTGAATGGATACACTACTTTTAGGGGGAGATTGGTATGATATGTGAATGGATACACTACTTTTAAGGAGAGATTGGCGTGATATTTGAATGGATACACTACTTTTAGGGGGAGATTGGTGTGATATGTGAATGGTACACTACTTTTAAGGGGAGATTGGTGTGATATGTGAATGGATACACTACTTTTAGGGGGAGATTGGTATGATATGTGAATGGATACACTACTTTTAGCGGGAGATTGGTATGATTTGTGGATGGATACACTACTTTTAGGGGGAGATTGGTGTGATATGTGAATGGATACACTACTTTTAGGGGGAGATTGGCATGATATGTGAATGGATACACTACTTTTAAGGGGAGATTGGCATGATATTTGAATGGATACACTACTTTTAGGGGGAGATTGGTGTGATATGTGAATGGATACACTACTTTTAGGGGGAGATTGGTATGATATGTGAATGGATACACTACTTTTAAGGAGAGATTGGCGTGATATTTGAATGGATACACTACTTTTAGGGGGAGATTGGTGTGATATGTGAATGATACACTACTTTTAGGGGAGATTGGTGTGATATGTGAATGGATACACTACTTTTAGGGGGAGATTGGTATGATATGTGAATGGATACACTACTTTTAAGGAGAGATTGCCGTGATATGTGAATGGATACACTACTTTTAGGGGGAGATTGGTGTGATATGTGAATGATACACTACTTTTAGTGGGAGATAGGAGTGATATGAAAATATATACACTACTTTGAGATTGGAGCGATGTAAGAATGTATACACTGCTTGTTGAGGGAGATTGGAGTGATGTGTAAACATATACACTACTTACTGGGGGAGATTGGAGTGATGTGTAAGTATATACACCACTTTTTGTGGGAGATTGGAGTGATGTGTAAACATATACACTACTTACTGGGGGAGATTGGTGTGATATGTAAGTATTTACACCACTTTTTGTGGGAGATTGGAGTGATGTGTAAACATATACACTACTTACTGGGGGAGATTGGAGTGATGTGTAAGTATATACACCACTTTTTGTGGGAGATTGGAGTGATATGTAAACATATGCACTGCTTGTTTTGAAGATTGTTTGATGTACACCAGAATACACATGTGCTAGGCAGACTTAAGAATAACATGTACTCACTGACATATAATTACGTAGAAAGTATATAAAAGTAATTCTGTGAGGGTGAATGTTATATCAAATATATGTTCTGAGGTCTGAAGGTACACAAGGCAGCTTTCAGTGATATATGACTATATATACTGGTTGTACCAAGTGTACATGTCAGTGATACCAGAATACATACATGTATATATGTGTTATTACAGAGGTATATGTAAGGCTATACAAAGACTAGATGTGAGTGTTTCCATCCCTGACTTTTACCTATTCTCCACCTACTCAGAGAAGCTATTGGAGGGAGTGACTCATGCTGGGAGAATGGACACTCATCT